CGAGATCGATTGTGAGATCGATAGTCAGATCGATTGTGAGATCGATAGTCAGATCGATTGTGAGATCGATCGAATGAATTAGATCGAGTGAGCTCGATTCTGAGATCGATCGAGTGAGATCGATCGAGCGAGACCGATAGTGAGATCGATAGTGAGACCGATCGAGTGAGACGTTGGTTCATCCCCCCCGAACCTCCTTATCACCCGAAGGGTGGTCGTATAGGTATATAACACGATGCGCTCGGAATGCAAGTGCGGATGTGCGGCCATGTGTCCAGCCCTTCGGTAGTGTGTGTATATGTATATGTATATGTATATATATATATATATATATATGTATATGTGTGTATGTATATATATATATGTGTATATATATATATATGTATCGGAAGTTGGGGGATGAGATCGAAGTGGAACGGAGAGCCTCCCACCGGGAAATCGGTTTCGGTTTCGTGTTCGTGCGTGTAGTGCGGGCGGGCGAGAGGAAAGTCTCCTGTGGCTGAGGCGCGGCCGGACCAAATGATTCTCCCTCCGGCAAGCAGTGGCCCGCGGTGTCCCGCCGGTGTCCCGCTTGTGGCTGGGTCCCGGCCAGACCAAATGATTCTCCCTCCGGCAAGCGGTGGCCCGCGGTGTCCTGCCGGTGTCCCGCCAGTGTCCCGGTGTCCCGCTGGTGCGAAAACGATAGTGAGACCGACGACGAAATCGATTGTGAGATGGATAGTGAGATCGATAGTGAGACCGATAGTGAGATCGATCGTGAGATCGATAGTGAGATCGATAATGAGATGAATAGTGATATCGATTGTGAGATCGAGTGATATCGATAGGGAGATCGATAGTGGGATCGATAGCGAGATCCAGAGTGAGATCGACAGTGAAATCGATCGAGTGAGATCGATAGTGAGATCGATCGAGTGAGATCGATAGTGGGATCGATGGTCCCAAGAGCGAGCGGCAACGCAACAATCACCACTGTTGCCCATTGCTGGCCCCCCTCCCCCCAACCTCCTCATCACCCGCAGGGTGGTCGTATAGGTATAGGTGTATGTATGTATGTATGTATGTATGTATGTATATATATATGTGTATATGTATGCTGAAATGCGGAGAGCGGAAGCCGACCACATGTTAAAGAAACTGGTCGGTATTTCTTATGGCCAGAATACACATGTCCCCACTAACCGCATACACGTGACAACACTGTTTATGTATGCACACATTCCTAATCATTTGCCAGATGTGTGCCACCGAATGTATACACACATACGTATATCTACACACACGATTGTTTATGTGCTTAAGCTCGAGGCCCTCTGAAGGCATGGGGTTGCCTCGCGAGTCCACTCGGGGGAATCAAGCGGAACACCGTCCCACCAAAACGAAGGACTCCCTTCCTCTCCTCCTGTCTCTCCTCCTCCTCCCCCTCCTCACCTTCTTCCTCCTCCTCTTCCTCCTCCTGTTCCCCCTCCTTCTTCTCCTCCTCCACCTCCACCTCCTCCTCCGCCTACTCCTTCCTCCTCCCTCCTCCCTCCGCCCTCCTCCCTCCTCCCTCTGCTCCTCCCCCTCCCCCCCCCTCCCTTCTCCCACCTCCCTCATCTCCCTCCTCTCCCTCTGCCTCCTCCCTCCTGTCCCCTCCCTTCTCTTTCCTCCGTCCTCCCTCCTCCGTCCTCCCTCCTCCTCCTCATCCCCCAACTCCTCCCTCGAGTCTCTTCCAGAAGGGAGGACGCGGGGGTGGGCGAAGAGGAAACGAGGAGAAGGCAGGAGGAATGATGATGGAGGGCCAGGAGGCCACGGTGAGGACATGCGAGAAGATATGAAAGCACACTGTGAAAGCCAGAGCCCGCAGCAAAGGGCAGATGGAATGCGCAGGAGGCCACACCGCAGGCCAGCGCGAATCACAACCCCAATATTGCGAACCATAACCTCACGAATGGAGCTTACAAAGAAATCTGGGCGACCGCCTCTGAGGGAGAACCCTGCGACACACCCGTTAGACCTCTAATAATCTTCCGAGACGCATCTCAAACGACCCTCATATGCATCGAAGAGGCATCTTACCCACGACCCCGGTGCGATGGCGGGCTGGGCTGCAGGCCAGTTTACAGATGTTTGGTGCAACCAGCGCTTCGATGTATGTGGTGCAATAATTATGATGACATCGGTCAGGTGCTGTAGTGCATGTATGTATGTATGTATGTATGCATGCATGTATGTATGTATGTATGTATGGATGGATGTATGCATGCATGCATGTATCTATGTATGTGTATACATGTATACTAGATACATGCACGCAGACGATCTAGTGTAAGTGGTGCAAGTGGTCTGGTGTAGAATCTGTGTTCTGAACACAGATTCTGCACCAGTGTTCACAGTGTTCAACCTGCTGGCACAGTGTTCACCCCGCTGGGGCCAGCAAGGTGAACACAATGTTCACCTTGCTGGCGCCAGCGCTTGACCATCTCCAATGCTCGTGCACACATTCCCACATCCGCTCGCAACTTGCTGGCGAAACTAGATTGGCTTAATGACGCGAGGACCCGTCTCATGGCGAAAGGGTGCTGATGATGCGGATGATGGTGGCGCTGACGACGAGGACGGCGGCAACGATGATTACGATGACGATGATGATATTGATGACGACAGTGGGGATGATGGCGAGGGTGGCAATGATGCAATGATGATGGAGTTGATGGTGATTACGGTGGCAAACATTTGTCTGAGATGATTTTACGTGTATGTGATCATGCAGACAAGCTTCGGGTCGGGCGAAAGGGGGGGATAGCAAAGGGGGGGTTTGAGAATCAGCTCACGCAGCTGATCTTCCCAGCGCCTCCCGGCGCGGGAGGCGGCTATGTATCGAAGAATGGGCCCCTCCGTGGGGCCGAAACCAGCTGCATGCAGTAAACTTCGTACCCCCCCCTTTCCCAATCCCCCCCTTTCGTCCGGCCCGAAAGCTAGACACGAACAACATACAATACGCGGATGGGGGCCCGAGACGCACGGGCACGACGATCACAACGGCGACGCGCGGCGGCGGCGGCGGTGAACACGGCGGGGAGCGCGGGGCGACCTCGGCGGACACCAGCACCAGGAACAGCTCCTCCCCGGCGACGCAGCGCCACTCCCGCACCTTTCTGACCTCGCCGCCAAGGCGAGGCGGACGAGCGAGGGCGTCCCTTACCCACAGAGGGACGCTTCTGGGGAGAGTCGATATTTCCCGCCATCCGAATCAACTAACTGTTGCCCTCCCGAGTAAGATGGCACCCCACGGTTCGAGGAAACCGCCACCGCCCAACAGTTGCCCAGTACCATCAGACACACCAGCAAGTGCCACCGAAAACGCTATATAGGAGGGTGGAGTGGGCGAGAACCCATCGTAATAATAACGCATCAGACTATGAGCCTGCAGACTGCAACTTGCAATACCACCTGCACGGACTGCACACGCAAACACACGCACACCCACTTTTGGGTGTTCGCGGGCCGGGCCACGCCTCTGGCAGAGCAGCGGGACAGCGGGCGCGCGCACGCGCCAGCTAAGCAAAAAAGAGTGGCCAGGCCCTCGCGAGGCAGTGGCGACGCAAGGGGAACAGCGGCTGGGGCCGGCGGCGGGGGCTGGGGGGGCGGGCGGCACACACGCAAACACACGCACGCACACGCACGCACACGCACACGCGCACACACTCGCACACTCGCACACACGCACACACACACACACACACACGCACACACGCACGCAGATACACACGCACACACACGCAGACACGCACACACGCAGACACGCACACACAAACACTCACTCACTCACTCACTCACTCACTCACTCACTCACTCACACACACACACACACCCGCGCACACGCACACGCACACGCACACGCACACACGCACACGCACACGCACACGAACACGCACACGCACACGCACACGCACACACGCACGCGGAAACGCACACACAGACACACACACACACACACTTTCTCTCCCGTGGGCGCGTGTGGCTCGAGGTCGAGCCCCACGCGCCCACGGGACGGTGTTGCTTGAGTAGGGTTGGTGGGAAAGCCCCCAAGTATGGCAGGAGAGATTGCCAGGCTAGACGAATACAGTCCCCCAATATGACATAGGCCTCATTCTTATGGATCAACCAGTGGTTGGCACAACACAAAGAGAATACTAATACAGTCTCCAAATAAGGAGCCGTAATCTTATATGGGTCGAGGAGAGCAGGGGCGGTGAAATCGAACTTGACAATGGAACCATCGACAAAGTTTACCATTCGTTTTTGACATTTGCTACAACAAACCTTGGAGGCCAGGAAAATATCATCGACATATCGCCCAGTCAGGATAGCACTGCGTCGTCCTGGATAGTGGGAATCGGTTCGGAATTCCAAATCACTAAGTACTGCATGTAAGATGGCCCCGCTAAGAGGCCCACCGATCGGGATCCCCCGTAGTTGTTGAATGACCAATCCAAACCAGAAACAGTCGCATACCCACGAAACCTTCCAGAGCCCTCCGGATGCAATGGGTTAGCCAGACCGTACGGTCCCACAGGCGTCGTGCCCCCCCCGAAGAAGACATAGGCCCTCTGAGTGCGTAGGACTGTGATGCATCTGTTCTTCCCCGCGGTCTCGCTCGAATCCTGCTTGGCGACAGGCGATCCAAGCAGTCGTGGATCTGATCCAGAGCATTCGCCTCGCACGCATGCCCCGCATCCCCGACGACCACGTCAGGGTGAGACATTGGTTGCAGGCAGCCCCTGCGCAGGCGGGGCGAGCACACAGGAGCGCCCACGAGGTGACTATACTGATCAATTATGTTGGGCACCACTGTGTCGAGCGGAGACGTAAATAATAGAGCGATGCAGGGACCGTGAGGGAAGTCGGAGAAAGCTGCATCTATTGCGGAAGCAGCTGTGTTGGGGTTTGGAGCACCTGTGACGCCCACCCTCGGGGGGAAGACGATCCCCGTGCCAGCATTTTAACTTTGCCGTTGGGTAGGTGCACGGGACATGCGCGGTATTTAGTCGACCCTCACCTTTGGCACGCAGAGACTTTGGGATAGTGTAGTCGTACAATAAGCGATACCAAGACACCACAGCCGACGTAGAAGAGTCCACGACGCGCCATCGATCTGGAACATTCGATAACATACGTAACCAACGCGCTAGATGGTAGAGCCCGCTAACCCGCCACAACGTCCTGGGATCCTTGACTTCGACGATGAAACATCCGTGTTGTTGGGCCTCACGGGCCCGCTCTTCGAACTGGAGTATGGCCGCACCAAGGGTCTCATAGTGTCGGTCGTCCCGTGGGGGAGGTGAGGCTTGGTTGGGGCGTCGTCCACGGTGGGGTGGGGGGGGGGGGAAGACGGTTTTGTCGAGTCCTTGGGAGGTCAGCAATCGTCGGCAAGAGGCCTGGGCGTCGGTCTTCTGGGAGGCAGGCAGGGTTGGGAAAAGGAGGGGTATACGTCCATTCGTGGGGATTCTCTCCATATCGTCACCTCGGGCCGCGCGGTGAAAATCCTCCAAGGTGAGGTCGTCCAATTGCTGAAAATGCTGCGTCCGAAAAGTCTTGGCAACGTGATGATCACGCTTGGTTTCTGTGGTGATGACGGCGGACAGGATGCTCTGGAAAGCCTGATGCTGCTGATGATGATGGTGATGATACCGCTTGGTTTCTGACAATAGCGGTGAATATTGTGATGGTAATTGATGCAGATGGTGATGATGGCGGACAGGATGCTGGCAGTGACGACGTGGCACTCCTCAATCTGATGCACCCCCCCGAATTCGATCGGTCAGCAGCGACGGAGCGGGTACAGTTAAGTCGGGCCTGTCCCCCTACAGGGGGATTTTCGACGAAAAGTAGAAAATGCCCCTAAAATAATCAAAAAATGCTATTTTTGGACTATGGTTGGGCCTGTCTGGGGCATTTTTGGGGCATTTCTAATTCTCCGTCGAAGATCCCCCTGCAGGGGGACACGCCCGACATAAGGGTACAGGAGGGAGGTCGAGCGGCGGACGGCTGCGAGAGCGGCGGTGTGCGAGCCGGCGAGCAGCCGGAGCGGGGGTCAGGCACGCGCCCCTGATGCTGGCGAGGCTGTCCGAGAGTACGCTCGCGCTGTCGCGGGGGGCCTCGCGCGCCAGACGCCGCGCTCGCCGCGGACGTCGGAGGTGGCCCTGGCGGCACGGGAGAGGTCCCTGCCGATGCGGCACGCTTCTGACAAGGGACGCTTGGAAGTCACTGCGCTGCGACTCCACGGGGTGAGCTGTGCGGCCTCGCGGGTGGCACGGTCAGTGTGCCAGCGCTATAGCCGCCGCTTGGCGTCGGAGGGGGGAAAGGGCTGGCTGGACCAACCGCGCGGGGGCAGCCATTCCGCAAGCTGCCCGGTGGGGGCGAGACCGTGCGTGGCGGAAGAGACGTCGTGGAGGAGGGACCTGATGCAGGGCAGGCGGTGCCGGCGCGACTGGTGGGCCGACCAGTCAGTCAGCACCGCAATGGGAGAATGCTGCCGCCAGCGCATGAGACGGTGAAGGGAGAGGGGGATGATAGGGACCGGGGTCGGCTGCAGGCGGAACTGGAAGCGAGGAACGCTCTGGCACAGAACCGAAGGGATCTCCAGGTAGTTCGCCCGGCGGAGCGGGGGCTCCCAGGAGACAGGTTGCGGGGGGGGCGGTGAGGTCGACGTCAGGGACATCAAACAATCGCTCGAGAGCGGAGTACATGTTGTAGGTCGGTGGTGGTGTGGGTAGGAAGGGCAACAATGCCAACGGCGGACATCTGGGACCGCTGATCAAACGTACAAGTGTTACCACCGGAAATCAACAAAACAACGTGGCCCGACGCCGTTACCGTCACTTTCGATTCCCCCGCGCTTCGGAGATCGTGGCCGGATGCATTTCCGAACAAGCACAACACATACCCACACACACACACACGCACACACACAAACAAACACACACAAAAACAAGCACACACACAAACACGAAACGAACACATGTTTTACGTTAGCCTTGAAAGCGGCAAGTGTCAGAAAGACGTTGAAATTCCTGCGTTCCTTCTTGCCCACGCCCGGGTGCGGGAGTCTCAATTCTACCCGCTCGTTCTCACATCCATGTCACTCCCACCCTCCATGCCCCCCCCGTCCCAGACGGCACAGGCACATGGGCCTCTGACCTCACGTGGTGTCCCTCCCTGCCGCCCCGCCCGAGCACGCAGCTTCCCAATGTGCCAGGAGGAGGGTCGAGAGGACTGCCTCTTCAGGAAACCCAGACTCCTCCGAAACCATCCTGCCTCCCAGCCAGCCCTCTTGCGAGCCTCCGCCACCCTCTGGCAGACCCCGTGCCCTCTCGGCTGGCCGCCCCCTCTCGCGCCGCCTCCCTCTGCAAACCGCGAGAGGTCACGCGGACAGCCGCTGCACCACGGATGGGGCGGGCGCCCCCCCTGGCCTCGGCTTTGCCGTGAACTGGTGACCTCTTGGAAGTCTTGAAGGGCCTCGCGGGCGGCTCTCACGGCCGAAGACTCTCGCCTCCCCTCCCCCTCCTCGCCCTCCTCCCAATCACCATCACCATCACCCTCCGTCTCCACCACCGTCCTCCACATCATCTGCCCCCCTCGTCGGCCTCCTGCTCCTCCTCCTCCGTCTCCGTTTCCTCATGCTCGTCCTTCTGTTCCCGCTTCTCATTAAGAGAGTGCCGCGACGAGCGCGCTCAGGTTCTACCTGACTTGGCGCCTTGCGTGAAGAGCCGAGAAGGGGCCGCTCCCGGATAAACAGAAATCGTGGACGAGCCAAAGCTTTGTTTCTGAAGGCACGATTCGGCCATACATTCTGTCGGCGTGTGTGAGACGCTCGTCCGTTCGTCGTCGTCGTCTTCGTCGATATCGTCGTCGTCGCTATCCTCCTCCTTCCGGGGGGCTCCCGACCAACGCCTGGCTAACACTTCGACCCCTGCGAGATCGAACGATGCCCTAAATACATGGAAAGGGACCCCCTTCCCTTTGATCCCTTGCAGCTCGGGTTGGGGTCCCGGGGGGGAATCCGAGGGGGGTCCCGGGGGGGTGTCCCAGGGGTTCTATAATTGTTTTGCTTGTTTCCTGCCTCTTCCTCCTCCTCCTCCTCCTTTTCCTTCCTCCTCCTTTGCTTTCTGCCTCCACCTCCTCATCCTCCTCCTCTTACTTCTCCTCCTCCTCCTCTTCCTCCTTTGTTTTCTGCTCCCTCCTCCTCCTCCTACTCTTCCTCCTCCTCCTCTTCCTCCTCCTCCTCCTCCCCATCATCATCATCATCATCATCATCATCATCATCATCATCATCATCATCATCATCATCATCATCATCATCATCGTCATCATCACCATCATCATCATCATCATCATCATCATCATCATCATCATCATCATCATCATCATCATCATCATCATCATCATCGTAATCATCATCATCATCACCATCATCATCATCATCACCATCACCATCACCATCACCATCACCATCACCATCACCATCATCATCATCATCATCATCATCATCATCATCATCATCATCAAAGCCTACAGCGTACCTGGCAATCCTCCTCCTCCTCCTCCTCCTCCTCCGCCTCCTTTTTCTTTTCTTGTTCTAGTCCTTCTCCGTCATCCTCATCTTCGTTCTCCTCCTCCTCGACCTCCTCGTGCTTCTCTCCCCATATCCCCCCATCCCCCTCCTCCATCCCGCCTGCTCCACGCGGGAGGAACTGGATTGAGGACGAGGAGGGAGGGGGACAGGAAGGAGGAGAGGAGAAGGAGGAAGCGCAACAAGAAAGGGGCACAGAGAGGGCAAGATCAATCAGCATCGAATCGGTAAATCGAACGAATTGAATCGTGCATTGAGGCAGCATCGGCACGGGATCGGAATCGAATCGGATCGGCTGCGCCAGGACGTGCAAAACCAATCATCATCGTCGTTACCGTCATTATCATCATCTTCATCATCCTCGTCATCATCATCTTCATCATCGGCAGCAGCATCATCATCCTCATCATCATCATCATCACCAGCAGCAGCATCACCACCACCACCATCATCATCATCAGCATAATCATCATCATCATCATCATCATCATCATCATCATCATCATCATCATCATCATCATCATCATCATCATCATCATCATCATCATCATCATCATCATCATCATCATCATCATCATCATCATCATCATCATCATCATCATCATGATCATCAGCATCAGCATCAGCATCAGCATCAGCATCAGCATAAGCATCGTCATCGTCATCGTCACCATCATCAGCATCAGCATCAGCATCAGCATCAGCATCAGCATCAGCATCAGCATCAGCATCATCATCATCATCATCATCATCATCATCATCATCATCATCATTATCATCGCATCTCCTCCTCCTTCTTTTCCTCCTCTCCCTCCTCTTACTCTCTCCTCCTTCTCCTCCATTTTCTCCTCCTCCTCGGCCTCCTCCTCCTCGTGCCTCCTCCTCCTCCTACCTCCGCCTCCTTCTCCTCCGTCCTCCTCCTCCTCCTTCTCCTCCGTTTCACGTTGGACCACCCTTCGGTGTGATCCTGTTGCGTTCTCGAGCATGCATGTGCAAAAACATACGCCCGACTTGGCGCAGTAAACACCTGGCGGGCGCCGCAAAACACAAAACAAAATCACGAAAACATTTTTTTGTGCGGCCGAGAGGGGTACTCTGAAGGGGCCCCAGGACACACAAATAAATACACACAAATAAAAAGATTCCCCATATGTTCCCAAATTTTCTGGGTTTTTGTCTTCCCCCCACTTCCCATATTTTCCTATATTTTCCTGGGAGTCGACGATTAATTGTGTCTGTGTGTTTCTTCCCCATCCTGATACTTGGAGTAGGCGCCCGCCAAGTGGATGTGGCAAGACGTGTACCCAGGCGAGAAGTCCGCCCTCCGTGGCACCCGACCAGTACCGTCGGGGCCTTGACCTGAGGAACCCTAAATAAGGAACGAGGCCCCTTTTTTCTATAAGTTGAACTTCGATTTCCCATCGAAAACAGAAGGAAAACCTGAGGCAAGCTGTGAAACACTTAAGGAACGCGGAGCCCTAAGGAAAACCTGAGGCAAGCTGTGAAACACTTAAGGAACGCGGAGCCCCTCCCCAACCAAAAGGGTTCCTTCTTCAGGGCCCCGACTGTAGGACCTGACCCCCCTCACAATCCATTGTGCCCGCTGCCGTTCTTGCAGGGGTAAACCGGCAACCGAAAGAGAAGCGAGCGCGTGCACCGAGACATCGGGAGGTGCCGCAAGTGAGGACAGAAGGCGCACACACGAGTAGTGGCATGTACTTGTACACCTGCGGTGGGCAAACGTCTAAGCACCTCCAGCGTACAGCTGGATGGTGAAGCCACCACAAGACTGGTTGGCCTGGTGGTAAGATCGGCTGTCTTGTATTATGCGACTGTGCAAAACAAAGTGGCGTCGTATGGCTGCCAGATGGGTGCTGGATAGGAGGTGAACGTGCAAGGCATACAGCGGCCCACGGCAGGGCTGTAGGCCTCTGCTGAGGCCCACGGCAGGGCTGTAGACCCTCTGCTGCCAATATGCGACGTTTCCCATATACGTAGTCGGAGTCAGACGGCATATTGTAAGTAAGCTGACTTGTTAGCTGCTGCTAGCGGCTGGCTGGCAGGCTGGCGCAAGTACCGGATGGCCTGGCGTTGGCGTCGCACATGCAAGGAGGTATGGCTGAGGTGAGTCTAGCATGGGGCGAGCAGAAAAAGTGAAGTACAATGGGATCGGGTTTGATGTGCAGCGGCCTACAGTAGGGTTGCAGCCCTTCTGCTGCAAGCTAGAATGGCCCCGGTGTCAGTAGGCCCTCCCCCGCCCCGTGGAACCCGTGCCTCCACCCACCCACGTACCCATATCCAACCCACATACGCAGTCGGAGAAAGACGGCCCAAGCTGTGTGCGCAAAGCGTGTTGGCTGCTGGTGGCCGCTGGCTGATAGAGGCTGGCGCAAATGCTGGCTGGCCTGGTGCCGGTGTCACTGATGCCCTCGGGAGTGTAAAGCACACAGTTTCAAGGACTGCCCGGGAGGGTGCCAGAGCAGGGCAAGACGGAGCAAAGAGGAAAAAGTGCGATCGTATGGGAGCGGGTCTGCTGTGCAGCGGCCTACAATAAGGCTGTGGCCCTTCCGCTGCAGGCTCGAATGGCCTCGACGTCACCAAGCCCCCCACCACCCCCCGGTGCCCACGCCTCCGCCCTCCCATCTGCGGTCGAGGACGAACGGTGCCATCTTCGCAAGCAAAGCGTGTGTTGCTGCGGGTGGCAGCCGGCTGGCACAGACTGGCGCAGGTAAATGCGCGCAGGAGTGTAAACCAAACGTCTTCACTGACTGCCCGACATGGGGCCAGCAGAGTGGGCCGTAAATTGTTGCGGGGCAGCAGTGGATGAAAGGTGCTACTGGAAGCAAACATGGCGCGCTGCGGCCCGCAGCAGGGCCGCCGCCCCTCCGCAGAAGGCCGGAGTGGCCTCTGTGCCAGTACTGGCCATCGCTCGGACGGCCACTCCCTGTGTTTTTGTCGGTTTCGTGCGTGGTCTTTTCGCCAAATGATCAAGGATGCTCCTCGATGGGCCTCGCCGAAGGAAAAATGCACACGTCCGAGCGATGCCAAGCCATCCCCGCCAGCGCGTCCCAGCCCGATCTACCCTGCCTCGCGGACCCAACCCGTGTGCCAACACTGCCTGGAGCAGGCGCGACAGCCCCGACGCGACCCCCTGCGGCGCGGGGAGGGAAGGAAACGCGCGGCAACGACGGGCGAGAGGCGGGCGAGAAGGATCCCCGCGCGCAACCGGAAGAGTGGAGCACAGGGGCCCGAAGCATCCCAGGGGCGCCGAGAATAGCTGCTGTCCTCAACGGTCGGTGGGGCGCGGCCCCTTGGGGGGAGGGGTCAAGCAGAGTTGCTCGGCGGGTCGGCTGACCTCCTGGAGCGCAAGAGAGAAGGGGGCGAGCTAGTGGAACACGCGGACGGCGCAGAAAAAATGCACGACGACACCTGAGAGAAGAAGGACGAATACAAGTCAGAAAGCTGCCACTGGACTCGTAGACAGAAGCATTGTGAAGAAAATGAAGAAACGAGGTCAGTCATTCAAATTCTGCGGTAATCAACGATGATGTACAGCTCGTGGTGGATGTCGCGGTAGCCTCTGCCCCGTGCCCGTGCGATTCGCCGTAATCGTCAGATCTGTGCGTGGTTGTAGTTAGTCCTGTTGTTGTGTCGTCGGTTGGGTTGGTCTGTTGCTGTTTGGGGTTCGATGGCACCTTGAAGATACGTGGGCGCGGCCTGCTCGGTGGCGCGTCTTTCCACGGTATGTCATGCGGGAGATTGCGGCTGCGATGTTGGTGAGATGCTGCTCGCACTGCGCTTGGTGCGCGCGTGCGTTGGCGATGTATTCGTGGAAGCGCGGGTGTCCGATGTCCCGCGCGAAGATGCGCCCGCGGCTGTTGGTCAC